AGGGGGAAAGAGAGAGAAAATATATCTTCTGTCTCTCTCTTACCTATATCTTACATATGTAATGATTTTGCCGATTCACTCCCGTACAAATTTCCAACGTCGAGCGCGCCTATAGAAGTATAACTTCGCAAAGTATAAAGCATATTTGATAAGAATACATTTAAATGAGAAAAAAGGTATACACAGGTCGATTATTAGTCCAGTCGTCAGAGAGTTGACCCCTAAAGATCATACGAACGAGCTAAATTTTGCAAAGAATATTATTTTGGGACCCCAAAAAAGATGTAACAATGTTTACCACTCGCAGGGGGTAAAAACACAACAAAAATCGATTTACCAAGAATTTGTACACCGTAGAAAAAATGTTTCAAATAAAAAATGGAGCTGAGATAATTTTAAACAAAAATGTTGTATAAAAGTTGTATTAGCTCGACGGTAAAAATTCGATAATTTTTGATCCAAATGTCCTATCGACAAAAATCAGGATGCGTTTTAAAGGCAAAGAGTGTAGCTTTCGTATACAGTTTTTGTATTTTGCCGAGAATAAACTCAGTTTGTATAAAGGTGTTAAATAAATTAACGTGTTGCGATTTTTGCATTTTATACAATTCTCGTGAGATCAATAAAATTGATCACTTTCTTTGACTTTTCATTTCTAGAGATCAATCTTTAAAACCTATGATATGAAATTTTAACTCTGAGTTGTGGTAACAAATATGAGGCATTGGAAATATGAATAAAAACGCAGAATTTAATGTTTTACATTACAAACGATCACACGTCACGGAAAATACATTTAAGAAGACGATTTTGGGTGTATACGATAACAATTTTAAATTGAAGATGATTAATTGGCAAAATCGCACTCAACGAAGCCCTTAACGATAACTTTTTAAAGAAATCATATTCCACTTATCAATTTTGCAGATGCGTACCAAAAAAAATTTTAAATATTTATTTAAATACATAAGTAATTACGTATAAATTAAATCTAAGACCGAAATAATTAATAAATTATCATGTGTATTTTAACAGGTATCTTATAGTTGTCTAACAAAATAAGGTAAAATTTTAATACATTACTTCAAAAAACGGAAAACTTTGCAAAATAGTTACTTTTTCATTAGACTAACCAATCTGAAATTTTAACACACGATCTCGTCATTACACATCATTCTCTTTTTATAGAATTGCTGCTTGCTGTAAACATAAACACAAAGTTCCTTTGTGTTTATTTGTTTTATAGTTTGTATAAATTAAAATGAAGTAAGCTAAACTATTATTATGTGCATGCGTGTTTATAGTAGTGTATCTATTTATTTCACTAAATTCTCGAAATATGAAATAAAGATTGCACTATTATAACTACTAGAGCTTTGTTAGAAGAAGACTCAGATTGTGAAAATGCTGACTTACTTAATGGTTTAGTCACTTAGTCACTAGCATATTGCAGGTTCATATGAAATACAAGTGATTGGGAATTTTGACGATTATGATTATAATATTCCTCTGAACCACAGATAAAACGTCCAAAGAAAAAAACAGGTAAAAATAGTAAATCCAAATTTGTCTCAAGTTTTGTAATAACAGATACTCCTTCGTGCTTGGTAGTAATTCAACATTAGTCTGGTTGATACCAATTATGTAGGCAAGTCATATATTGAAATTTTTTTACTGTTTTTTGATAAAAAGGTAATTGAGAGCATTCTATATTTTACAAATATTTATGAATGAATAACATAGATTTAAAAAAAATAGCATACGTATATTATCTGGTTCACACTCTGCTTCAAGTTGATATGCATTGGTCAAAGGATTAGGATAAAAAAGTGCACATTATAAGAGAAAGCATGAGCCGACATAGATTTATATTTATAATTTATAATAGTGAAGAAACCGCTACATCAGTGTCAAACTTAGTACATGGACGTCAATCTAAATTTGCTTTACCAGATGAAACTAGATTCGACAATATTGGCCACATTGTAAAAAGAGATGACAATAGTGCAAGAAGAAAATGTTGGATGTGCAAAAGTAATACTATTTATTTATGTAAAAGGCGTAGAATGCATCTACACCCCGAATGTTTCAAAAATTTTCACCTTAAAATTTAATTTACATTTAAGATACAATATGTTTCTTGATTAAAAATTGTACTGTTTTCCTTGAAAATGAGAAAAAAAAATCTTTTTAGTTGTAAATTAGTTTCAATTTATATGTTTTTAATCAAATCTAATAAATAAATTGTCAAATTTTCAAATTTCTCTTTGTTTATTGAGCGGCCGTTAAGGGGTTAATACTATATAAAGAATAGACTTATCTTAAATTTACTTTAGGTACCTCAAAACTAGTATAAAGGTAATAATAAAGTCTATTTAATAAATATATTCTCAAGAAATAGAACACACTACGCCTATGCAAATATCGAATGTGAAACAAATAAACTAAAACATTATATTTCTCTTATTTTCATTCTTTCTAAGAACATAAATATATATAGACCAGTCTTTTAAAATTCCCTATCAAATTTACAATGTCAACAAACGATATCCCTATTGCGTCCTCCATCTTTTGAAGCAAGTGCTGTCACCTATAGTCGTTTGAGAGCGCGAACGGCAAGTGCCGTCTTATTAAAATTTCTGTATATTATGCTCCTGATATTTTGGTGTAAAATTTTAAACTATTGATTACCATTTTGTAAATAAATTAGACATATTATATTATGACATAGATACATATTATATTATTAATGTATTAGTCTGTCATATAATTTCGTACGTGTACCTAAATGGTTGAAATAAAGATACAAACAACAACATTGTTAAAAGGCAGATCAAACCACTTCATTTATTGAAGAGACGAAATCCACCCAATAAAAAATTTGAAATCTCAACCCTTCGCACTGGTTTATTTAATAAAGGGTATGTTTCATATTTAACCAGCACAGCTTGCTACGACCCTCATCTACGTTGTATTCCCAAAACAAAATCTCTTTAATGTTCAAAATGCTCTTTGTTCATATTTTATGTCGGTAGTCGGAACTTGATTTGGGTCTTTCTGAAAGTATTTTTAGGAATTGGAGAAATGATGTAATTGTTTCGAAATACGCACTATACTGTATTTTTATGTGTTCTTCCATACGAATCTTCCGAAACAGTGGCGGCGTACTTCAAGGACAAATTGTCCAAACAAAAATTAAAAACAATAATTAAGTTTTTTAGTTGTACGTTTATAGATGGTGCCTCGGAAGAATTTAAAATTATGTTTCCAAAAGGATTAATCTAAACACATAACAAATCTCCTATATAGAATTTTAGTGTAATTTAAGAACTGGGGACACCGGGGCAGTGAGGACCAGCTAAGCAAAATGTCTTTGTATAATTTATGTTTATTGTGGTATAATTATAAATAAATACTGTGTAAGTCTGTGTGTGTTCTATGTGACATATTGGGGCAAGTAGGTGGACCATATTAAAAATAAGTAAGAAGGTAATGGTGATTAACATAAACACAATTCAGAGATGAACTCATTATCGTACTCTTCTGCCCCCGCACATTATTCGTGGGGCCACCGATGACAAATTTGCCACCTAATCCATCCTTCGCCTTGTTTGCTTTCTTAATAGGGGCCATGACACAAAATGCACAGGCATTCGTCTTTATTCTCGCTTTCAGTATTGCTGCTTTGATCACTTTTCTTAATAAGTTTTGCATTTTTTCCTCCTTATTTTATTTTTATTATTATTTTTTAAGTTTTTTGTAGTTAAAGAAAACGATTTGGTCTTCTAAATTGGTTTTTCTTTGTACTGGTGCTAGTTTAAATGTGTCTTTTCTTCTTTCTTGTTTCTCTTCTAAAGCATCCTTCATAGGTGTGCTAGTAAGGATTGAGGAATTTTCTGTTCTCTTACTTTGTCTCTTCTTCTTTTTATTGTCTTAAACTACAACTGGCGATACGATTTGTGATACTTCTCCAAATTATGAAGACTGGGCTACTTCTGCTTTTGAAGAACCCAGTCCTGCACTAAATTCTGATGATTTTAGCCCCAGTTCATTGGGTGGAAGAACATTTAAAGTTGATGTTTGCGTTAATGTAGTAGTTTTGTGATTTGTAGACAAGTTTTCTACATTTTCAGTGACAGTCGAAGGCAGGAAATGAGAGTCTTCGAAAACATCCGGGTTAAATGGATATATGCCATTTCTTTCTAAACCTGTCGCCGCTTTATCTGCTGCAGCTACTTTCTGCAATGCTCAGCCGTTTAATTGCACCACGTCGTGTATTGTTATTAGTCCTCCTTTATGAGTTGTCATGTAGAAATCGCATTGACGAGCATACTGAGTGGTCCAGAAAACGTTAAATCAAATAGCTGTATTCGGTGAATGCAGTGAGATGGGATAGTTAGCATTACTATATGATTGTCTCTTATTTCCAACACACTCTCAAGCTGCTTATGGCTAATGTGTCTGTCCAATATTAATAAAACTGGCTTTTTCTTACTGGGCTTTATTTACATGCTTTATAAAATGGTTTAAATATTATTAAAAATTCTCACTATCCATCCAACCAGATCCATTAACAAAATCGATAGCTGCTGGGGACGCATCTCTTAAAAATACAAATGGAGCTAATCTCTTTCGACGAAACAGATAAAATAGAGGAACTTATTTTAGAGTCACTGAAAATGCACATGGTATTGTTATGTTGGAACTTTTTTCGTGGCTAACTAGTCTTCCTACTTGCTTTTGTCTCTTCTTTACAAATATTTTAGGTTTCGGTACAGGGCTTATACATGTTTCATCATAATTATAAATGTTTTCTGCACAAAAGTTGTAACGATCTGAAACCATTTTTGAAAGATCAAAAAAATTGTGCTTTGTTGTTTATTGAAACGTAAACCTCTATTAGACTTGTGGCTAGAGGTTTTTAAAAAATCATAAAAACCACAGAAAATCAGGATTTTATTTGCCAAGCAATGGCCCAGAGATGTTTCCTTTGGTTTGCTTCATTCGTATAAGTAAACAAGTTTTCGGTATTTTAAATCTTCTACCAGCTTTTCTGATGTTTTTTTGTTGCGTATTGTCCTAATGGCGGCTTCTGCATTCTCTTGCGTCCAATCAGGTATATCAAGTTTTCTCTTGTTATTTCTCATCTGAAAAACCAATTAATAAAATCATTAAACTTCTGACAACAGGGTAATGACAAAATTTAGGTTACTTATTGGAGATTATACAAGCTACAAAGAATTTATCTTTTGAAGGCTGTCTTAAAACTTTGGTTGAAATGTGATTGCGAACTAAACTACTTCTAATCCTTGTTTAGTGTAGTGTTATGTACAATTTTATGTTTAATTTAATGTTTATTACATTTTGCGCTTGTTGGATAGCCCAAAATTGACGAAGTAAGTCTAAAACGTTAATCACAAAAAAAACTTTTATCATCCATTAACTTCGAGTTTTTTATCGAAGTTAATCAATTTCTTCATTTAAAAAAACGTTTCTTGGCTTATTTTAGATGCCCCTGATGATGCTTTGGAATGCTAAAGTGCTTGGGCAAGATTTGATTAATAAAATTGTGCTCGATATCTGCCTTTAATTTTATCAAAGTTCATTTATTTAAGCATTCAACCTTAATAAATAAATAAAAGATTGAGAGGACCATGAATCTATTATTCCATGTAAAATTTAGAAATACAGTAATTTGCCTGATGACACTAAATATAATAAATTTGTTGATGATTTCTGATGACATCAGATATAAATCTAGTGTGCATTTTACCTAAAAAATCCTTCGTCTTCTTCTTCTTCGGCTTTTCCCATCATGAGTTCGCCGTTTTTGTCCTCCACAGTTCTCCACTATTCTCCAGCACTATTCTCCCAGTCACCTTTTCTGAGGTCTCTATCTATAATAGCATTTCCGACGTATGTTTTCCATCTTGTAGCAGGTCTTCCTCTCCGTCTTCTTCCCGGCGGGTCCCAGTTTAATATTCTTTTCGGCCACCTATGCTCTGGCATTATTTGTACATGCCCGTACCACTGCAGGGCTCTGTTTTCCAACTTTTTTGTAATTGAGCATTCTACTTCCATTCTGTTCCATATTTCCTTCGTTCTTATTCTATCCGCTCTTGTGATTTGTAGACATCTTCTCATAAAATCCAGTTCAACTGTTCTTATTTTATTTCGTATTGTTGTTGTCATTGGCCATACTTCCGCTCCATATAGGGTAATATTCATCAATATGCTTTGAATGATCCTCTTTTTGTTTTCCTTGGTTAGTAGAGTGTTGTTCCATATCACTCCATGAAGTGCTCTTGTGGCTTGTTTTCCCCGTGCTATTTTCATTTCTATATCTTTCATACAAGTACCATCTCGGCTAATCATTGAAAAGCTAAAACATCCTGTATATACTTAATACATTTCTTCCTTGTACCCCTTATATAAAATGACACCGTCCACACTTACTGTTCATTACCTTTGGTAACGACAGAATACAAAAAGATGCCCCTCGGCAATTTTCTTTTATCCCTTTTAGACGTGTTCCCACGCAAGTACTAAAACAAGGATATTAATAAGGACTTTTTAAAATGCCTCCGAGGTTCCATTTACATTCGAAATTAATCATTTTCAGTTTTAATTAATCCAGAACGCCAAATGAAAAGAACTGGAAAGAACAACGGAAAAATAACATTTGTCTTTTTTCGGTTAAAGAATTCATTAAAGGCATCTGCACCATTTTAATGCGGTTAAAAGTAAATATCCGAGCCAAAAGGAAAATAAAGAAAGTTTCTTTGATAGATTTTATTAGATCTTTCGATAATAAGAGTTTGCCCTCAAGCCAGAGAAATTAAAATTAAAATTGATATTTTTAATTTTCTTCAAATTAATTCAAATGATTTTTCAACAAATCACAAAGTAAATATTACTAATTAATTAAGTCAAGTCAATTAAATCATTATATTTATTGAGATAATATTAAATATCAGTATTATAAAAAGTATTTATATGAGGGCATCCTTAAGAAATTAGCATAATAGTTTATTTAAAAAGTTTTTATTTTGCAATGTATTTGGTTATTTTGATAGTTATGATATTATAAATAGATTAAGATGAATAAATTTGTTATATTGATGGTATAACCTGATTGTATAAGGATGATTGATGGTATAAGCCAGTTTGGTGTAGAACTTTATTCTAAATGTGAAATTTTCGGTGATATGTTGTCACCTTCATCAGCACCTAAATGGAAAACCTATTTTAGTCCAAGTGGTGGAAATCAACATTTAAAAACCTACATTGAAAATGTTCAGTTGGTCCTAGTGGTGAAGGACACTGTCACAAACATGTTAAAAATATTAAAAAATACATTTAAAACTTTGAATAAAAACATTACAACACAACAGGGTATTTTTTCAAATACAAACACAACAAAAAAATCTAAAATTTAAAACCTACAAAAACTGCAACTTCATGTTAAAGGTAGAAAAGAAGAATTATTCTTCTTTTTTGATGACATATTTCTGATTTCTGTCAATATCCGGGTGTCATATGTAACGAGGTTATAATTTTCACGTTTGCACCTCATGGATATGGAAAGAAAGAACCCAAGGAAACATAATCAGCAGGGAAATGAAGTCTTTTCTCAAGTACAGGTAGGTAATATATGCATGTTATGATAAGTTCCCTACATTCTCCAATTTATTACATCTTGTCAAGTCCTGTTGAAGTAGAAAGGAATAAATACAACTTAAGTTTTCAACATCTTTCTTACAGTTCATAGAAGAGCTACAGTTATGGATGTAGCACATTTCTATGAAGTTTCTCTTAAATTGGTTGTCAACCCTCTTTAGTACTTGCACATTTTCATAGTTAGCAATGTGTCCAGTATTCTTAATATGTTGGCTAAAGGCTGTGCAGGTGGGCTTCCTCACTACATCACTCTTGTGCAAAGCTATTCTTTTTGAGAGTTTCTGGCTGGTTTGACCGACATACACTTCTGAACAAGAACCACATGGAATAGAATACACTACGTTGAAGTACTACCTAACCTAACTTAAATAATGCTACCAAAAGTTAAGATGAAGTCATAAAATAATTCTTTCATAGTTGGAAGTGAATCGATGATTTTCTTAGTTCTTTTATCACTAGTTAATATTATATGTAGATTAGACCACGTGTTCTGTTGCTTTGCTAATTTTTATTAAGTCTCTAAATGTTGTTAGTTATTTGATTGTTTATACAATATCACGATATGATGTCCATTTATCTGAGTTTTTGTACTAACTTTTTAATACCATTGACAACTACATGTCTTTTTAAGGTAACTATGTAACATCTTCTTCATGAATGTGTGGTTCTCATAATGTAAAATTTTTAGATGAACTGATGATGCTATCAGAATTCGATAGCGAAACGTCTTCAAAATAGATGAAGTAGTATCAACTTTGTCTTTTATTTTTCCACCTAGTAGACCGATATTTGAACCCACCACTCGTCTGCGTGATCGTTATTATATATGTAAACCCTTGTTATCAATGCTGATCAGTTAGACTACAAAACACAACTATTTTTTAGGTGTGCAGCGGAAGATAGGACAGAGAATTACTCTTTTTAGTCTACCAAGCTTTAGCAAATCTTTATTTGCATTATTAGGGTACTGCAATAAACAAAATTATTACAAATTAGAGAATAAGAATTATTTTGTATCTTACACTAATTAAGGTTAGTTGTCATGATGTTTATAAAATGAAATGGACAACTCATCTGACTCCTACAAATGATAGCGAAAGCTATCAAAAATTATTTTAAAAAACGTTCTTTTACAAACAAATATTTATAAAAACATTTTATAAAAACATTTAAATAAAATTATGTTATAAAATAATTACAGAACATATACTTAGTCGTAATATAAAATTTAGGTTATAAATATTCTTATCAGAAACAAAATAATGGACAGCTGGGGTGTGATGTCACGGCAGCCATATTACATTCCAAACAAAAGTTGAAATGCCCAATCTCAAGACTTTCTATAAAGTTAACAGTTTGCTTTCTCTGTTGCCTTTTCTTTTAAGTATAGTGTTTTTTAAGATAATACCATCATAATTCAGTGTTCTATTTCTATGAAGTCTAGCTTAAAAGTTTAAATTAAAGAAATTCTAACCTTTCTTTATTGATACATGCATTTTATTGCTTTTTTTATGAAACAAGATTATTTAAAACAAACATTTAATAATGTTTATTAAACAAACAGCTTTATTATTTACACAACCTTGTAAAATTGTTGTAGTCACTATTAGAATACTTAGATATTGCAAAAAGCGGAAAGATTCTGTAAAAAAAAATGAAAAAATAACGAAGAATAAAAATTATATACACTAAACAAGATTTGTTTGCAAAGTGAAACTGACAGATGTCAATAAAATCTACGTCATCACTCGGGCAGTCCATTGGTTGTGAATTCGTTACTACCAACTTAAAACGACAGAACGTTAGATCTTAAAATGATAACAATTTAAAGGTAATAGTATACCTGATAGATGCCGAATTTTCTGAAAAAGAAGAGGCAAAAAGACTTATTTTATGAAGTATGAGAGATATTGTATATGTATAACATATATAATGAAACTTGTTGAAATGAGACTGTTGATGATAATTTTCCTTTATTAGTAGATTCGTGGTTATCTAAAGTTAAGAATAATGAGTATAAGTTGCTTAAATTGTTGGTATATGTCTTTTTGTTAATGGTTTCTTTTTCTTGAAAAATAAAAGCCATCTCAAGAAACAATTTTTTTGAATAATTGCTCTCCATGGATAGGATTTTTACATTCGAAAAATCGAAAGAGTGCCCTGTTGTGTTTGGCTAAGGAACATCTATCAGTGTGTAACCTAATGTCACTTTTGTGAAGGGTCAAACGGCTGGAAACTTTTTGAGAGGTGTTACCTATATAAGAACCTTCACAGCCTAAATAACTAAGTTTGTATACAACATCACTTTTATCTAAGTTTGGTACTTCTTTCATTCATTTCTATCTTTCAATGACTTGTATAAAGATCCCACAACTAGAGTGCTTTTATAAGCAATTTTTAGATTTGGTAAGTATTGAGCAAAAATTTTGGTCAATTTGGGAGAGACATCCTTAATAAATGGAAGTGA